TGTGGTTGGTAGTCAGGTGAAGCTGCTACCTTGATGCAAACAGAGGGCTGGGCAAGAAGTACTAACTGGGAGGCATCATCCCAAGTATAGCGTCAGTCCTCCGCTTTCAGTAAAAAACTGTTTAGCTGCCTGTGCTCTTTGCTTCAAGTTAATTGGTTAAATAAAGCTGTACTGTGAAATCTTGGCCCCTTTGGAGCTTGCTACTGACAAACAAGACCAAGTTTTGAATCACAGTTTAGTTACCACATCATCTTACTCCGAACCCTCAACTGACATATCGTGTCCAAATTCAACACTTCTCCATTCTCTCCCTTCTTATTGTTAAAGTGAAGTGAATATACTAATGCTTCTAAAATAGTTTAATTTTATGTTTAGGTTTGCTGCCACTCCACGACACTAATTTTATCCAATGCCATTTCAATTTCAGACAAACTATAGTGAAATAAACTACATGTGGCAGACTGAGAAATCAGGGCCCTAGGCTTCTCTTCCCGATTTAAATAACTGGAGACTCATCATCATGTTTTTTTGATGCTTATGACCAAATGGCAACAATAAAAACACAATGAGAAAAGCCTGAATTCCTTACTGTTAAAGTTACAGCATCCTGAAATTTTTTGGCTGGAATTAAAGAAATGTAGCCAGAAGAGTAAGTAACAAGCTTATCTGGAAAACTTCTTATGGCAATATTGACAGGAAATTCCTTCTCATAACCAAAAGCTTGAACTACGACTTTTTCAGATGCCCCAATTCGGAAGATCTTTGGTGCTGTAAGGACATATCTGTATATAAAATATAAAATAATAAAAGGGTAATGGAACTATACTTTTTCTTTTGTATTTATTACTTCCATTTATAATTGACTTATGCACACACTGTTAAAGCAAACAAGATAAAGATCTGGTCTAGTTATACTAGCAAACTAGTTAAAAACAATATAGTCCTAATTGGAACAGTTTTCATGAAAACTCTAAGGTACCATTACAAAATAATAGCTTAGGTAGGCTAATGTTTATGGATTTGATTCTGCAGACACATAAAGGCATACATAGTATGACAGCCTGTTCACATGGAAACAGTTATTACCTTTGCCAAATTAAACCCTGAAACACTAACCTCCAAACAGTAGTACACTTGTGCAATTTTCCCATCATCAAAGCTCTTACTGAAATCAATGAAGCTACTCACAATAAAGGCAATCATGAATACATTTTTGCAGGATTACTCTCATTTCTTTAGTACTTTATAAACTGAAGTATGCATTATTCCACCCAAGCCATAGACCAGGCTTTAGTACCTGAATGCTTAATAAACCCATCTAAAAATATCTATTTTATGTTGAATAAAATGTTTAGTACATGTGCATCTTCTTTTCCTGAAGTTCCAAAGGCACTTCAGATTGACTGCTTTCTATATACCATTATTGATAGATATAAGAATCCAAACAAGTGCCACTAAGTACAATTTGAAAAACTATATTTAAATAAGAGCTTTCATCAAACCCACAGCAAAGTATCTGTCGACAGAAAAAATAGCGAATACCAGCATTACTTCCTAACTTTTCTGCGAGTTTATCTTGTTGATACAGGCAGAATCCATGGCACATAAGGAGGTGAAGCTATCTTTCTTTGACAGCAAATATATTAATTACAGAAGCAATCTCTTTTTAAGCAGAAGTCCCACATAAAGCAACAGTCCCACATACACCACTGATAATTTTGCTTATGAAAACAGACCAGATTTGCACAGTGCCTTTTGGCTTGGCTCTGTTCAAATTCTGTATATATTTACTTCAAATAGAGGCTGACAATCAAGTAACATTTCCAGTGAATACTACACTTGTTTTACTTACGTTTTGTCTTGACTAAAACTCGTTCCAGAATATATCAAAACAAAAAGAAATATTAAAATAGCCATAGCGTCACAAATAGCAAACCATGGATGCTTGTGAATATGGATTAAATTGTATTTGGCTTTTAGTGCAGATGAACAGAAATACCACCAATACATTTCTCTAACAGTTAATAATTAACGCACATCTTGTTTTATTAGAATGGGACTTCACCCTCCCAACTCAACAACTTGCGAAGAAGCCAGAACCGCTAAATTTAGGAATTAATTTTTGAATTTAGGATTTAAATTTTTTAATATGTACAAAGCAATCTTAATAATCTCATTTCAAATCTTCTCCCTGTTTCATAGGTACACATGAAATCCTTTTCTGAGGTAGCTAAAAAAATAAAGATTTAAATTTTTCCTTCTGAAAATATTTTATCAAACCCTTTGATTTTAAATTTGTTTCTGCAAGAAAAATTTTTGAATTGTATCAAACACAGTATGTTTTTTAGCTCAGAAGTTTCCTTTTTCCATTTTGGAATAACTCTTCACCTGCAAATGTCTTTTAGTCACTTACATTCCTGATTATGCCAGTTATCTGAGTACTTACATTACAAATAAAATTGTAATATGAAAGTTCTGGGGTACAACACATCTACAACACGTATTATTTTAAAAAGCATTTGCAAAAGAAACTAGCAGCAGAACCTCGCATGCCTGATATCTAGGCATAGTACCTCAACAAATAAATTTATAAATAGTTAAACTAAAGTTGTGCAAGACTTTTCAAGTTTAAACAAATACTGTAGCCAAGCTTTACGGGAAAAGGCATTTACAAAAACATTTCTGATCAATATAAAATTAAATCATAAAAAGGCCAACACGGGCTTCTCAATAAACGTAGGTAATAAACTACACGGGAAGCAACAATATATAGAACAAAATCTTATAAAACGTAAGTTATTGAATGCTATTAAAAATAACGGCCCAAACATCTATTATTAAAGACCAAACTATGAGAATTCATACAATACATTTACACAGGTAACTAAGGAAACAATAAAGAACATTGGAAAACGCGTTTAAACGTTTAACAATATTCTGAAATTTTGTTTGTTAACCTAATTAGTTACAAGTTATAGCCCTGCTCTAAATTGTTTTCCTGGGTGGGCATACTGAATTTTCTATCCTACGTCTCACACCTAGCTGGGTAGATTTGAAATTACCACATACAAAAAAAACCTGTTACAAGAGCTTTATTTAAGCATCTATATGAAAATAGTGGTAATTTACACCCACTGCATTGAGCTTGTCATGGTCAAATATGCTATGCGTTTCCCATGTTATTTACAAAGACTAGCACTCTAAGGACAGTTTTACAGCAACAAGTTATAATGGGATAGATACATACAGATATATGAAGTGTGGACAAAAAAAACCCTCTCACTGTAAAATATTTCCATACAGCAATTAAAGCTTTTTATTAAGCAAACTTCAGGACAAAGGCTCAAATAATCTACCCTTTTGCAGCTGAGAACTATGCTTTCCCCATCTCCTCCAAACCTCAGTTATGTGCGAAGAGGTGAGCAAGGCGAAAAAAAATAAATAAATAAACCCGCCTCTCGGCCTAATTTTCACCTCCCCTTGCCACCAGTGTAAGTTAAACGAGCTCTGAGGAGAGCGAGGGCGCAACGACGCCATTAAAACCAGGAAAATCTGTTCCGCGAGGGGAACGCGCCGAGGGACCGCGCAGGGACGGCTGCGCCACCTCCCCGAGCGCTGCACAGGCCAGAGC